TTGGAAAAAAATGTTCAGGACACATTTCTCTATCTGCTCTGAGAATTTAAGAAACATTTATTAAAGTTCATTGAGCAACTTAGTTCGTCCCTATCGTGCACTGTCTCATAGAAGTTTTTCTTAGTCTAATCTGTCTTTTAGACAGGTGATTTTTGGGTAGAATATAAGTTATCAAATGAAAATGAAAAAAAATTTCGTCAGCTTATCTCTCATATTAGTTTCTATGGAAATGGTTATACCGAACCAAAAAATGTCAATATTAATGAAATTGTTGGAATTTATTTTGAATCACGTTGGCGACGTGGTCTTGTTTTATCACCAAGTGATTGTACATCGTCTATTGCATTACATCTAGTTGATTATGGCCGTGTTATTCATGTGCCATTATCTGAAATTCGTTGGTTGCCAGTTGAGTTTATGAAATTTCCATATAAAGTATGTTGAACTTACATAAATTTATACGTACAATGTTTTCATACTTCCTTCATAGGCTGTACAATGTTATTTCAGTGAAGCACTACGTTACAATTATTCTGATACAATGCGTGAAAATTTTCAAAAATTACTCAAATATCGAACTGTTCGCGCACAAGTTGTAAGTATATATAAAATATTTACTTTATTAATAAGACTATCGTTCAATCCTTGTTTTAGTATGAAAAAGACGGAAATAAACTTGGCGTGGTATTAACGTGTCGTGTCAAAGACGGTATATTGAATATTTATCGTTATTTAAATGCGATTGAAAAAAGAGTGTCAAAATCATTGTCCAATGTCGATATAGCGAGTTTATTTAGTTGTGATTTAACTAAAAATGAGAATATCACTATGAATGTGCGGAATCGATCAGGTATGACAAAACGATATCCAGAAAATTTTTGTACTCCGCTTCCACCACCCGTTTTAATATCAAAAACGTTGCCGAATTCATTTACTAAAACAAATAACCAAAAAACTGAAAATAATACGAAAAATATAATTAATGTAGACAGTAGTGATTCAAGTGAAACACAAAAACAACAAGGATTTTGTTGCGTACCAAGGTAAAGTATTTCATCTTATTCATCAGTTTTGATTAAGTCTCATATCACGTTTTTCCACTTCTAGATCTTCTCAAGCTTACAAGAGTCGATCCTCTCAAGATAAGAGAAGATTATCACTTGAACCAAAAAACTGATGTATTCTAGTCTATTGATTATTTATCGATTTTGTTTTGTCAAACAGTGAAACAATGAACTTTTTATTTATATATGCTTGGTCATCTTTTCGTTATATACTTGTCTACTTAGTTCATTTTGTTTTCCTGTCTACTTCTTTCTAATATTCTATTTATTTCGAGTTAGATAAGTTGTAACTTTTTGTTTGTTTTATACAATGTCGATCGTTTTGTTTGGTCTGTGTATTTTTATTTTGTTTTTCGTATTGGCTAACAGATCGAATAGAATTCTTTTATTTGATTAAGATTCTCTATTTGACACATAATAGATAAATTTTGATCGAATCATTTGCTATTTATGAACATGTAAAACATATTTTATATGTTTAAATATGAATTTTTATCTTTGAAAATAAAATAAGAAAAAATAATCTCTTTTGAGCAATTTCTGCTAAGATTTACACAATTAAAGTTAAAATTAGTTTTTTTCTTCAGTTTTGGCATAACTGCTTGATTAATTAGGCAAAAAAAGCAGACACAAATGAATCATGCATTTCAGTATGATTCATTCTCAAAACCATCTATTATTATCAGTGCATACTAAATTGAACAGAGTTTTTAATCCAATTGCTAATTAACGGACAAGAGATGCTAATCTCCAAGAAGCAGATTTTTATCTACCTATGTGATGATAATCATTATAAAACATTTTTAAATATTTTCTACGGCACTGATAATAACAAGCAAGCAGTAACAACTTCTTACAAAAACATTTCTTAGTGCCATTGTTTCTGATACAAACTCATATGGGTGCTGAATAACGACTGATGTTAGTAATATATTACATTCTGTCCATATCCGTGTGCATTGTTGTTGTTGGGCGCATCAGTGGACAAATGCACCGATTTTTTCAATCATCTTTTTATTCTATCAACATTAGTCTCTATAAATTGAAATTTTCGAAGTTTTCTTTCTAATTAGAGAAATGCTAGTAAATGATTGGTCTTTTACTTTGTTCTTTTTCCGTCATATCAGTCGAATAGTATACGTCACAGCGTAAGGAAAAGATACGTACCTTCTTGTATGGTATATATATCTTTTCTTATACACTAAACGTATATTCAAGTATATATTAATATATGCTTCTGATAACACTGGAAAAACTCAACAAGTGTAGTAATTTCATTCTCGTGACCTTATTTTTGAACTTTTTCTAAAAATATTTTCACCATGGTGTAGTTGATAATCTCAGTAATCGAATGAAAACATGAATTTTCGATTTATCATTCAAAATGAGCGAAATCTTGCGTGTTTAAAATATTTCGCTTCGTTTTTCTTTTTATTAAATACCGTATTTATTCATGAATTTTTATTTGGGATTAGAGCAATCCCATTTAAATTCAGAACATACACACATATTTTTGATGAGGATGAGCACCGTGATTCCAAAGAGATCGAGGAAATTGAGTTTGACTCTTTCAGAAAATCTCTGGCTTAATTTGCATTATACAATAGAATTCTGACCAAAGCTGATTAAGACACATATTTCCAGAACTTCAGTTTTCAGACATCTACCGCCCATCACGAGAACAACCGCCTGTATGTTCTGAATTTCAATGGGATTGCTCTAATCCAAAAATAAAAATTCATGAATAAATACGGTATTTAATAAAAAGGAAAATGAAGCCGAGTATTTTAAACGTGAAAGATTTCGCTCATTTTGAATGATAAATCGAAAATTCATGTTTTCGACTCCTCGAGGTAGTCGACTCCTTTGTTTGAGTGAACATAAAAAGTGACTATGTTTGATTGTGAAGCAGTATCATACATTCTTACACAAAACGGATAAACAGTATGGCTATGAAAGATAAGGCTGTGTTAAGGATGGTGTGAGTTAAAGCGATCAATGCAGATAGGTTGATACGTACACTCTCATCAACAATTTGATGTTTTTTCACAAGAACTTCACCTGTTTTCCCGCAGAACTTGATGTTACTTCACGACATTATCTGATTGTCTGCTTCTCTGGTAGTTAGAACTGATGCATCATATATAGAGAATATTTCAGAAGGCCTTTGACAATGACCGTGATTGGTCGAAATATCAAGATTTGTAGAATAAAATTCTAAAATTAGCTGCAATCAACATGAAATTGCATCAAAAATCGTCCCTACTGATAATCTACCGCGTGTACTACTGCAACGAATAAAGGGAATGATAGAAGTAATACACTTCAAGATGACATTGATGAGATCGAAAGATATCACGGTGTATTTAATATATGATGAACGACATGCGTATGCATAAAAAAAGAAAAAACAAGACACTTAAAAAAATATATTAATTCTATTTAATATATATAATTGATATACTGATCAACAATAATTAATAAACAATAAAAAAAATAAAATAATAATCAATAATTTTTTTTCTTTTTTTTTTGCGGGTGGTGCAGTTTGATACTCTAAACACTGAAAATACACATAAAATTAGTAAAAAAATATTTTATCTTTTCCGAGAAGTAACTCTGTTACTTTGAAGACATTACCTAGTACAACACTACAACCTCTATAGGTTCATCTTTTATATGTACACCAGTGGTAGCTAGGATATTTCGCCACATTGTTTCGACCACGTTTTGACGGGTCCGAGCACGTGCGGCTTTAGCTACATTTTCCTTCTTTATCTGAAAGATCCTTTCTTCGACCTGACGTAACTACCTCGCAGCTCTTTGAATTTTGCGCGCCAGAGTAATAAATGTATTTTTCACGGAATTTTAGATGTCTATTATACGCTTTATTCCCATATGTACGATAATGGGAACTGGTATTAGTATAAAGATAACACTGAGAAATCAGATGGAATCAGGTAAAGAATGAATTGTGCATGGAGCATCAGGCGTTACATTTATATTAAAAGACAGATAGCGATCAGTGGAACGGCTGTAAAGCTTCGCTATGACTATACCTTTGACTGATCATTTTTGTCATCTTATCCCACTGGATCTGTCTAAAGGCATATCCATATGCACCAATGAAATTTAGTCTACAATAAAAATAAAACACAATACAATAAAAAAAATTTAGTACAATGACAAGCAAATGAAATTTAGTCTACATATAAATGGATGGTAGCTAGCATAAACCACAATAGAAAAAATGACCTGAACATGGATTTTTCACCCATGCATGATCATGGAGAGATATTAGAGACGCTATTTGAATGAATAACAAACGGTACAGACCGTTTTCCAGGGAGTACTATTGCTACCTTCGTTCAGCAACTATGAAATAATTTTTCGAAATAAGAAAAGAAGATACGGACTAATTGTTTTCTTCAGTCATCATACAAGACAATGTTTTTTGTGTAATTCTCATGGTTGCTTTTTGTCGTGTCGGCTACTCAAGGCATATGATTGATTCTGGTGCTCTTCCCATTGTAACAAGCAAATCTAATCGAATTTCTAACATGAACGAGAGGATATCAAAGCTTGACATCCATTTCGAAGAGAACACTTTAGGTTGTCTACACATATAAAAAATTAATATACTGTTACTTGAATTGTGCCACTATGAGCACATTTTCGAAGGATCTCTTGAAAATCTGTTTCGGAAAAAAATGTTGAAAACTTTTCCAGCAATGGCAGAAAATTTCCAGAATTCCTACATTTCAGGCAATCTATAAAAGTCTACATTTTCCCGATGAATTCTACAACAACTACTACCCAGCTAAAACATCACACGTCCGAGTTGTTCTAATAAAAGAAATCTAAGAAATGTATAGAATTCCATAGAATTCTACGTCAGTACCAATATACTATATATTACCCAAGTTACAGGCAAGCGGAAATGTGTAGAATTCTAGGTTCGTACTGATATTCTTCTGACTAGTAACGGGAGTGAGGGGGTGTAGAGCATGAGAGTGAGCCATTGATCCACTATATCTGTCGTCAGTATGTCTCTACTAACGTAGAATTCTATAGAATTCTGCACATTTCTGCTTTCGTCCAGCTGGACCACCAGGTCTTCGAAGGGCTATGGGGAAGCCCCATGGTCGTATTCGTAATCAGCATGGTCGATAACCTATAACCCACTAGATTCCGAGCAAAAAGCGTTTAATCACTTCGAGGGGTTCCCTCGTCAACCACTTCGAACGAAGTTTTCCTTTGTGTTCTATTTCATTTTGATTTGTTGAACGATGTAAAAGAAAACAAATTCTTTTTCTATTCGAGGTTTTGAAAATCTGAGCTGAGTATCTCCTCTCAAAAATTATTTCAAAAATAATGAGTCGCATGTCGATTTTGAATAATTAATCTTTCCAATGGCACGTAGATTTGTGATTCTATTTGTTTAGAGTTTTATTGATATGTGTGTAAAATGTGAACCAGACTTTTCCTCGGTTACCCCACATCAAGAATGTGATGGTACTAAATAAAAAACAATCGTTAATGCTCTATTGGTTAATTCTCTTCTTTTTTTCATAGACAACAAGCATTTGAATGTGTTCAAATGTATTTGTGGGAAGGTGTATCGCAACAGTACAAATTTGCAACAACATATAACTGCATCCAACGAACTTGTTAATGAGGTAAATAATAGTTTTTACTATTTATGCGCACTACATTTAATCATGAATTAGAACGAGATCCGTTATTACTGTCTATCAATTCAAAGAATGGGCTCGATCATTTTTGCCCAATAAGCCAAAAATTAAATTTTTTTAGACACTTGCCGTTTTGACCATTGTATCGCGCATACTTTAGAATGCCCTTTTGCAAGGAGAAAAGTTGAGGGATGTCCGAGTTCCTGCATTTTAGACATGTTGTAGAATTCTACGTTAGTAGAGTTATAGTCCTTATTGACCAAAACTGATACAAGCGGAAATGTATAGAATTCTAGGTTACCACAGATAAAGTAAACATTAGGCCAGCTGGACGAAAGCGGAAATGTACAGAATTCTATAGAATTCTACGTTAGTAGAGACATACTGACGACAGATATAGTGGATCAATCGCTCACTCTCATGCTCTACACCCCCTCACTCCCGTTACTAAATATGTTTAGTTTTATTGCAAAAGCTTGAGCGCATGAAGTTCTTTGCAAAACGTTTTGTATTTCAAAACTTGTGTATTATTACACAAAGCAGATATTTACTACATTTTCAAAATTTTCAATTTACTCCAAAAGCGGAGAACTCCCTCCCTGCCTCTTGCACTTCGCGGCGTCCCTGGTTGTATGACCATACAACACTGATAGTCATAAATGTGGTATGGTTAGCTTTTTAAACTCGACTACTTGTCACATGTATTTGTTTGTCGTTAGAACTATTTCATAATAATAGCATGGCACTAGTATATGAGGGTAAAATAGTTCGTTTTGTCGTCCAGCTAAAAAATTCAAAGACTTTTCTTTTTTTCTTCAGTAGATATACATTGTACATATGCCACATGAGCTGCAAAAGGAAAGGATTTTGTATTATGTCAGTCAAGAATATCAACACTTCAAATGGCCGTCTCATTTCTATTCAATAGATCATGTATTTATTCACCACAAGTTCAGTCATTCACTATCAATTTAACCAAATACACATAAGTGCGATATAATTCTCGATTATACTCTTCAGAAACTGGAATCACGTTTACTATTATTATTATTCTGTTCCACTGTAAGTTTCTCTTGTTTATGTTCAGAATGAAAGTTGGCATAACTTCAGCATGAAAAGAGATAAAGATCTGACTGGATTATCGCCGGTTGAGATTTGAGAGCAACTTTTTCTCATTCAAAACCAATGCCAAAATCGGTTGAGGAATATCCATTGTTAGCAGCTCGCGTATCTCATACATAGTGTCCTATTCATAACAGAGCGTAACGAGAACGTTTTTCTTGCGATATTAATCTTATAGCCGTAAGACTCTTTTTATCTGACTGTTGTTATCGACTTGGTGAATATCAATGGTCTACTAGCGATACATTATAACGACAGGATTCTTATCAGATACAATTGTGTAATAAACTAACAGCTCAATAACCATACCACATTTATGACTATCAGTGTTGTATGGTCATACAACCAGGGACGCCGCGAAGTGCAAGAGGCAGGGAGGGAGTCCTCCGCTTTTGGAGTAAATTGAAAATTTTGAAAAATGTAGTAAATATCTGCTTTGTGTAATAATACACAAGTTTTGAAATACAAAACGTTTTGCAAAGAACTTCATGCGCTCAAGCTTTTGCAATAAAACTAAACATATTTATCATTTCTCGAACTGTTTTTTATTCTAAGTTGCAGACACATCAACTGTGAAAGACAACTAAGTCATTTTGAAATCTGTTGCTGTGCTTTTTCGAATGCGCTTTCCAATTTTTAATTGTTTCCACCAAGGCGCAGTTTATGTCTGAGAGACAAACTTCTTTAAATTTAAGAGTAAAACGTACTGATTCATCGTCATGACCTGATGAATTGATTGAAAACCTGAGCCTCAAACTCTGACTTTGGAAGTCAGCGGACAAAGGCATTTTGTTACGAAGAGTCAAGCATTTATACCGCATGATTTGGGAGCCAAATTAGTAAAAGAAAGCAAGAGTAATGGAAAGCTTTCAAAATGCAAGTCGTAGCAGATTTTCTTGTAAACGAAAAAAGAAAATATGTTGGTATTTACTCTTAAACCGAGAGTATTTATAATGAGTAATCAACGATTGCTCATTACAACATTAAATCGTAGCTCAGAAGTTTTTCCTCTTCAGTTGGTGCTGATTGTTGATCTCGTTTCCAAAGCGAAAAATTTTCGAATTTGGAAGTAAAAGATTTCAAAAAGCAGGGAGGGAGATCCGCTCGCTACTCCCGTTGCCGCGGCATCCATGCATACAACATTGAAAAAAAAATAGTACTTTTTTTTACTGTGATATGCACGTTTCTATTAATGCCACATTGAATTTATTTTGTAGATAACAACAAAAATAACATATTGATCTATGAGCAATATAATTAAATGTAATGGTGCAAAAGGATTGAATGAATCAATCTGATATCAGCTGTATAGCATTATCAAATGATGTTAAGCATAGAAGATAAAGTACGATTATTTGAATGTTGCGTATAATTCAAGTACTCTCGAATAAGTCAGCGCATGCTTGATTATCTGATTATAATCTACTAGAGATTGGTAAGTTATTTTTTCGAACATAAATATTGTAACGAGTGATGCATGATGTTTATTAATTCGATTCGATCTATTGCAGTTTTAGATCATTTTATCTTTAATCAGAACTCTTTATCCAATAACAATGTCTTTGATTGTTTTTAAAATAAAATTCATAGACAAAATCTGGAATAACATTTTTTATTTAAGAATCATCTTCATCTGGTGGTAGTGTACTCAAACTTGTTCGATTTTCTCTTGAGAGTGTTGTATCTGCAGTAGTTTTTGAATCATCATATTTTTGCTGAAGATGTGAAACAACTAAAATATCATTTTCCGCATCATCATCGCCATCACTAATTGATACTGAATCAAACTGATCAGTTTTTGTTACAATATTTGATTTTGATTTTTTGACAAGTTTATTTCGTTTTTTTCGTTTTCTGTGATTATTTTCTGTTATTGTTTCTTGTTCTAATAATGGTTTTCGATCATCACGATGATTAATGATATTGTCGAATACAGTGGTACTTGTTTCAGAATTACGCTCTGCTTTTCTTAGTAGTAGTGGTTTAATATAATATTCATTAATTTTTTCTAGACCTCTTAATTGATTTGGTCTCATAAATTGTATTTCATATTCATCGTTATCATTTCCAATTTTTCGACGTTGTTTAAAAGAATTTTCGTCATTATTCAATATATCATCGTACAATCTCGTTTTACTCACAAGCGTTCCCCCTTCTTCATCATCATCAGCATTGTTTATTTCTTGTTGATAACTTGATGGCATATATCTCTTCATATATTTAACAACGGGCATAGTTAAACCTCCCAAAACTAATATGGTAAATAAAACATTTATTAACGTTGTTGTTACTACAATACGTTTCATTTCTTCTTCCTCTTTACTGTAATATTTTCCTACATGTACCGATAATGCATAGGATATAGCGCCTAAATGATATACATGATGGAATATTCTTTTGTGAAATAAGTTAAATAACTTACCTCGTAATCCGCTAAACCACATGATAAATTGCATTGGTAACGTTATTTGTAGTGGTTTTGATCGAAAACAATTTAATATATATGACAACGGAAAAACGTGTGCTGCACGACCAATAAGTGTTAAAATAATTGTCCATATAATTAAATTTAAATGAAATTCATGTTTATATTCAAATATGCCTAAACCCAGATAGGCAAATACACACGTTTCAGCTAGAAATGCAATCGTACGGAATAGTGTTTGTATTGATTTTCTTCCATTCGTTGATAAGTTTTCATGTGTATAATGACTCATTGTTAAACCACAAACTAATATTGACATAATACCGGAGAAATTTAATAATTCTGCAAACATATACGAACCATATGATAGTATAAACATAAATGAAATTTCTAATGATAATGCACTTTTATCAAAATTTAAATATTTTGTTAGCAGAGCGCTTATTAAACCAAAACTTAGTCCGATAAAACCTGACAAATAAAACATGAGACAAAATTTTATGCATATTTGTAATAAGGACTTAATTGTTGCCCATATGTGCGTCGGTGATGATGATGATGATGATTGAGATAATGTGTCTGTATTATTGACTAATAATTGTCGCTTGAATCTTGGATATTCTGAAATTAAAAAATTGAGTGACATGTCAAACAGTATGGTAGTAGATAAAGTTATCCTACCACTTTGTACCTTGACCTACTCATATGCTGAACACTCAATAAGTTTCTGTCCATTTGACTGTGCATGGTTCTGAAGATATCTCACGTTTATTATTAATTTCTCATTAAATGTTCACTCTTTTTGGAAAATGCGACCATAACTTCGTTAAGAATCATTTATCGGTCAGAACAGACTCAGGTCATCGAAAGTTTTATACCACAAGGAGTACAGTACTAGATCAAAAGGAGTAGTAATTGCGACTAAAATAAGGCCTAGCAGCCAAAAGCTACTCAATGGTCTAAAACGAAAGTATCATCATCCAAACATATACGTTTTGAAAGCGAATTCTTAGATGAATAACAGATTTACACTCATGTAAACATATATATATTGTAGAGACTTCAGCACAAATGGACGTACTACTATTCATTTCAAAATATAAGAACCGTGGCTATTTTTTGAATAACTTTTGATAGATAAGAGCTAGATAGAATTTCCTAATAGGATTGTGTTGCTTTTTCTTCATTAACTGATAGCTCGGGGTGTCCTTTCAAAATGGAAGTAAAGTGAGACCATGATTTTTCGCGATTCGGACGTTATATCGAATTTCCTACGAGTCCCAAGACTGGCACCCGGTGACTTGTATTGGTAGCCTTAGAGATGAATGGACTATGGGTAATTGACTATGCTAAGTCTCGTGAAAATAATCGTTTTCAGAAAAATTTTAAAAATCTACCGAAAAACCAGTTTCATGAAAATTAGGGTTTTCAGACTGTTTTCACCCAATATTAAAACATCCAATATTCACTCAAAAAATATCAGAACGAGTTATCAGCCTGAAAACCCTAATTTTCGTGAAACGGTTTTTCGGTAGATTTTTAAAATTTTTCTGAAAACGATTATTTTCACGAGACTTAGCATAGTCAATTACCCATAGTCCATTCATCTCTAAGGCTACCAATAAAAGCCACCGGGTGCCAGTCGTGGGACTCGTAGGAAATTCGATATAACGTCCGAATCGCGGAAAATCACGGTCTCGCTTTACTTCCATTTTGAAAGGACACCCCGAGCTATCAGTCAATGAAGAAAAAAGCAACACAATCCTGTTAGGAAATTTTTACAAACGGCCTAGTTTTGCAAAGATCTTCTAGAAAACATGTTTCAGAAAACTCTTCTGAAAACAATTTTGGTTATGAAAACATGCCTCCAAATCTGCTCTTTCGTGGCAAAAGTCGGTGCTATCTAGCTCTTATCTGTCAAAAGTTATTCAAAAAATAGCCGCGGTTCTTATATTTTGAAATGGATAGTAAACATTTTTAGGTATCGTTGTTTCTCATCAGACTACCTACGATTTTTGTTACGGTCAGACTAAAACTTTCCAGTGAGTTTGCTCAGGACAAATTCGATAGAAAATCGATGTCTTTTGATGACAAAAAAAAAACGCTCAACGCTTAGTACTGTATTTTGTAAAGCATACTTACATCGTCAAAATAGTTACGATGAATCTTCCAAGCGTTGTAAGAAAAACAAAATGAGCAAAAGTAGTAACTCACTCTTACGAAATGGGAAGTAATCAATGCAAACATACTATAGTTACACGGTATAAGAATTTTGTTCCGTTTCTTACCTATTGATGGTTTTTTATGTCTTGGGTGCATTTCAACATAATCGTCATGATTTGCTAGTTGGTCTTCTGCATATTCAATATCATAATGTTCCTTTTCCTTATACCACCACGGTGTTTGTTCATCACTATTTTGTTCATGTGGCAACATGGTTTCTGTTGGTTCATCACTATTTTGTTTATGTGGCAACATGATTTCTGTTGGTTCCAAGATATCATTTTGAAGATTGACTATTTCTAATGACATTGAATTGTCCGTCGTAAAATTTGTGATTGTTTGTGGTGTCGTCAGAAGACCAATAACGGCCATAGTTTTTAACGTTGTTGAATTAAACGACAAATTTTTGATTTGATGTTTTGATTCTACAATAACATTTGTTAACACAATCGCAACAGCATCATTCAAAATACTTTCACCAAAAACTAACATATAGAGTAGTTGATCGACATTTAATGCTTGGAATATGGACAAAATAGCAACAGGATCGATTGCTGAAAAGGAACGGAAAATGTTAAATGAGAAAATTTTCAGAATATTGGTAAATACCTGAGTTCAATGATCCAATAATGAAACATTCACGCCAAGGTAGTTTATAGGACAAATGCCATATACCCAATAGCCAAAGTCCGACTCCCGTTGTTAATGCGCTGATTGTTGTTCCAAATATAGCAAATGTTGTTATTGTTCCAAGATTTTTAAAGAAATTTCCTTTATGTAAATGATAACCTTGTTCGAATATGATCGGTGGGAGAAACAACATGAAAAATAAATTTGAATTTAACAATTGAGATGATATTGCTGACGGTGTGGCGGTGGGTGGTAACCATTTATTACTTAATTTCAACAGAAAACCAAATATAGCACCGATGTAGATAACAGCAACACTTTCAGGCAAATAATTAAAACGTTTTCGAATTAACAGATGAATGACTAGTACACATATAAACAATAATACGAGAAAAATAAATATTTCACTTGATGATGATAATAGATCAGACATTTTTAGATGCAAAAAAAACAGTAACTAAAAAGTAAATAGATTTTTTTTTTCTTTTGTCGTTGTCGATGTGTGACGAATTTTAACCTATACATATATGTGATATACACGTATTTCTGCTAGTAGAAGAAAAAAAAGTACGTAGGAGCTATTTTTCAAAATCTGCAGAACAGAACAAAAAAAATTTCTGTTATTTCGTTTTTTTTATCCGTTCACCGCACTAATGAACCTTCTTTGTTATTACTGGACATAATAAACCATGTCAAGTTATTTTTTTCAAATATTATAGAAAAATTTTTTTGAGTTACTTTATAAAAAACAAATAGAAAACAAATCGACGTAGGAGTAGTTTTTTTATCAGCCTCCGAAGTGACAGATATGTTGCAGATAACGTTCTTTTTGATAACGAATGACAAAGGAACGCAAATGAGCGGGTGTATTTTGGATGAGAGTATTTAAACAGAAAATAGCGAACCGTAACATACACAACAAGGATAAATATGCTTGAACGTTGGGATTTCGCATTTTTAAAAACTCAGAAGAAACAATAATGATTCACATAGCTCACGATGAAGAACTACGAGGAAAACGATCTTTCAATTATTTTCAAGATTTATTGAGATAAATTTCTAGACAAAAAAGCTTTCATTTTTTGATAATACCTCAATTCATGTTAGAACAGTTAAAATAGATTTATTCATATTTAAATGTAGAGCAATTTTCTTCTGTTGCACTATTCACAGTGGTGATGCCATCTCAGTGTACTTGAGCCATCAAAATTAGAGTGTAATTTTATGTCACTTTGTACTGGTATAATTAACCATCGGTTGGTAGAAATTGAATACGTTTTATTGGTAATTTTTTCTCAGGTAATATAGGTATTTTTACTGACCGACCGACCTTACTGACCAAATTTGATTGGTGTAACCATGGGATAGACCAATCAAATTTGGTCAGTTAAGTCAGTCGGTCAGTAAAAATAGTCACCACCAAATGATGTCGTTTTAAAAATAACGGTGGATTTGCTACTTGCTCACCATCGATTAGCCAACATTGATGATTGATTGGCATTGATAAGGTGACTTTTTCAACACGTTCTGAACTAACCATATGAGAATTCGATATTGTTTTGAAAAGTTTTTGAGTATGTCAGTTAACAGTGGGTGTTTTTTATCCAGCCGATGATTCTCTAACGAACTAATGAGTCCATCTTCAGAGAGCAATGAATACGTTTGAGTATTTGATTTTGATGTAAATAAATTCATTTTTATTTATTTTCTGAAATTTTTCTAGAATCGAGAAATTATTCGCTTTTGATCTGACATTTTCATTCTCATCGCTACGATAATTTGATTCGATCACTAATCTTTCATCTTTCACATCGTTTGTTGGTAAATTAACAACAATCAATGCTTTATCGTTTATTATAGTATCTAACGGTGATATTAACATGTTGCTACCGCTAGTAGAACTAGTTTCATACGAATATTTATCCGCTGTTGTACATTCTTTTTTAGATGTCACAGACTTGCTACCAACGATAGGTTCTAAAATGAAAGTAAGTATTTTAAGTTCCCCCTTTGTTTAGCTCCTATTTGCGGTCGTTATAATCTACAGATGATCAGAAGTTATAAGTATGAATTAGGAAAAACCGTCTCCTGGCATCGAACCAATGCTACGCTTGACTTCAAGATCACAGAAGTTGAACCCAAACAGTTTATTGTCAACGTTATCGTTCGGTTCCCCTATTACTATTTTGGTAATTCGTTTTTTATTCATACTTTTTTCTGTCGATTTTTGCTGTTTTTTGTCGCTTTCATTATCTACACTCTTTCTATCTACACTATTTCTTTTTTCATTTTTCGATTTTTTCGTTTTACTTAACGTTGAATTTCCACGTAGATCATGATCTTTCACAATTTCAATTTTCGACATTTTTTGAATAATCACCTTTTCACAAACGATATTTTTTTTTCTTGCTTTTGATGATTCTCAAGCATCTTTCGATCGTGATGTGTTCAACGGACGATCTCTGTCTTCTGATCTTCTGTGTACTGGTGAGCTTTTTCTCGAATATTTTTCAATATGAGGCAGAGTCGTCGACTCAGCACTTTGATCAACCGGTGAATTTTTTCAAGTTTTGTGCAACTGTTTTCAACACATTTCTAAAGTTTTGATCAGCAATCAGTTGTTTCCAGGTTGACATCAGCGTGCTTTTTCTCTAATTCGCAAGTGAAAATTAAAAAACAAAACTGTAGTATAAGTAAAGTGTTACCCTGCGATTTGTCAATTTGACCTTGACCTCTTGCTATACCCTCTACAATGAACTCGGTAGCAGAAACAACATCGATTGATGGCTAGAAATGAAATTAATAATCAATAGTATAGGATTTTTGTGTATATTAGAAATTTATACCATTGTGCAGAGTAATTGTTCACTTGCACACATAGCAAATCGACATATATGCTCAATCTAAAGTATTTAGCAAAACAGTATTATTTGTGGATAACTTAATTTTACATACCATGTCAAGTGTTACAGACGTGTTCAGGCGAAGAAATACTTCATGCACAACATTTCTGACAAAATCTCTTGTAATTGGCTAAAAAGACTGACCATGTTAACAGATAGAAAGAAGGATAAACTAAATTTCTCGTACGTTAGTCTTTTTCAAATATGGATATTTCACGGCTCCAGCTACTTGTAATTTGCTGATTGCTTCTTCCAGAGTTATTGTTCTTTAATAAAAGCCGTAGATACAGTTATATCTCCGTTCTCTAGATTTCCATCAAACTTACATCCGAACGAATAATGTACTCAGCTTCACAATGAAGATGTTGAATAATTCTGGGCAACTAAGAAGGTATATAGACTGTAAATTTGTTGTTTAGACGGTCATTAAAAGACTGAATGTACTTTTGATCATCAAACTGCTTTAGATACACATGATAACCAAAAAAGATAGTTTCGATCATCAGTTCATAGTAAGCTAACAGCATCACTTTAGTACCATACATCAAAATATAACGCATCAAAATATAATGTACAGAACAAAAAATAAACAATATGTGAAAATATATCTATTTACAATTGTAAAGTCGTGCTAACCTTCTTTGGATGTCCTTTCCCTTGCCGTTATCCTAATAGCTGGATACGTGTTTTATCACTAACTTGATATAAGTTAAACAGAATAACTCCAACCGAATGTTTACACCAATATTGCTTCATGCCAACAGGACATGTATACGACTGTAGTGGTACCACTAACCAACAGGGTTATTGTCGTATGAGACAATCTTTGGATTTAAGTCACTGGCGAGAACGATAGATATCTAACCAAGCCGATGGTGTTATTTGTGCATCGAAGGATGGTACGACGTAAAAGTCGCCATGCTAGTAAGAATACCGTTACGATCAATATTTGTAGATCATTTATAACCGGTTAGTTCACAATCAGATTTGATGAACGCATAAATAGTAAGTGGATTAGTTTTTCAATACTTTGATCAATCTCTCAACATCGATTGAATCGATGAAAGAAATGATAACAAATGTAATTGTGTCGAAATGTTTGGTGCTGTTTGATTTTAGCATTGAGAACGAAATTACAAAAATACGTCAAAAATTGACGGCCCCGCTTTTCTAACAATATGCCCAAGCAAGAAACGGAAAACATGATCGAAGTTTGACTTTGCAGTTAAGTAGAGAAGAGCAATCATTTCTGATCAAAACAGAACAAATCCGATCGAAAAAGCTTTTGTTTTGATAGGTTTTACTGAAAGCATCACTATAGTTAGAATTTAAAAAATTAACGAAAAAAATGCGTGACAATCGACAGAAAAATTATTATTTTTCCATTGTTTTGATGTGAAAAAATGTGGACTGTAGCTAAAAGATAGAGCAAAGTCTGGGTTACATAATGGCTGGTTCAGGTTTTTTTACTTTCAAAATGTTAACAAAAGAAATCGTTTTTGACTTTAGAAAGTTTTCATTGTTTTCGTGTTTCGTATAATTATTAAAAAGTCGTGCTAACCATAGTTTTCTTGATTGAAGTTCTGAAATTAAAGTTTAAGTAGGGTTTTGTAGAGTATTTCGGGGCGCATCTTTTAAAAAAACTACTAACTTAGAGTCCTAAAGAAACACTGGAAAAATAAAAAATACTGAGACCGCCATTCATTCTGCGCCACCCGTTAATTAACTTGAAACAACACCATATATGGGGGGAGATAATAAAACGTATTCGACATTATGAACAGAAAAGAAATTATTAAAAAAATGGTGATCAAAACTCTTTTTTTTGGTGATCATTTGTATCTAAAGCAGTTTGCTGATCAAAAAAATTGGTACCCCATAAAAATCCCACCTCAGACATGATGATATTGTGTTTTGCTTGTTCAATGACGAAATTGACGACATATCGAATAAATTCTACATCTCTCGTATATCTTTCTTCAGCAAAATGATTTCCTTCCTAAATAAACACGCGTTCGTATATCTTATTTCTTTTCAATCAACAGTACCAGTACTTTCAACGGATATTGCCAACTTTGATATTGCCCATATAGAGATCGCATATTTTCCACCATTGTTTGACAAGGTACTAAAACAGGAATTGTGAATCATTTGATAGATGTGGAGAACTTTAAATTCGACATATTCTCTTTTACGTACCAGAATAACATACCTAATTGTTGTAGCAGCAAACATGCTGGTTTGTAGCCCGAACATATTTGGTTACAGTTATTGTATCTGTTTGTTTGAGGTAAACACATAGCAATTGGATTATCTTGCATCATCGTTTTTGGTTCAATAGCATTTTGGAATGAGATTTTTTTAATGCAGAAATTACTTAGATGTATACAGTTTTATCAATCTGTAAAACAATTTCACAAATTAATTTAGAGAAAATCGTTTGACAATAAGTCTAACCGCCATGAAAATAAAAATTAAAATAGAATAAAATGCAGACTAACTTCCGTGACAACAGTTTTTCTATCTGCGT